TTCTAATTGTCTAAGAGTGAGTATGATGATGATTAAAAGTAACTTGGAAAGGTTCTGAATGTGTGAAATCAAATTTTGAGAACTAACTCAAAATAATCGATTATTACTAGCTATAATTGATTATTTCTGCTCTGTTTTTCAAGAGTTTGAGAAACCTTGCTGTAATAATTGATTATCTGTAAAATAATCGATTATCCTAGAATGTGCTCTCTGGAATAATCGATTATCCTGTGAAATAATCGATTATTCTATTCATGAATGATTTCTAGAAATTCCAAAGAACAAAATAATTGATTATCCTTAAAAATAATCGATTATCTGAGGTTGAAAACTTTATAAAAAGGGTTCTCACATTCAGAAACTTATAGATAAGAGAATAATTGATTTTGTGAAAACTTTGTGATATACTTTTAATTCTTGTGATCTTCTTAGAGAGTTTTCTTTGTGAAACCAATAAGTAAAACACTTTGTGAAATGTTTTGAGAAAAATCATCATCATCACTACATTATTGGAAAGAGGAATTAAGATTGGTCAAGAATTCACAGTCTGATTTATTCAGTTTCCAGGTGAATTCATTCCTTAAATCTTTTTGTGTATTGTGGTAAAAATATTAAGTAGGTTTCTCAAGTGGTAAGAAATTTTTGTAGTGAGTTTCTACAAGAAGTGTTTTCTTGGGTGCAATAAAAGGTCTATCTTGTGCATTGAAGTGTGTGCATGTATGGTATTCTAGTACGACTTCTTCATTGAGATAATGGAACAAATCTTGACCAGGTTATGATTGAGGATTGAATGTAGGTCACATGTGGAGTGGCTGAACCAGGATAAAACACTTTGCATTCTTATGTTAAAATGGTTGGTCTTGATTAATATGTTTGTGATAGACCATGGGCCAAGGGCCCAGTGACCAGAGCTATGGCTAGGAGGATACAGGAAGAGTTGGATCTTGAGAAGACTAATGGGCTTGTTAGGCCCAAGGTAATCTTCACTTGGAAAGCTCTATCATGAAGAGAAGGCCTTAGTTCTACTTGTTTATATTGTACAGTTCATGCATAGTCTTTTGTATAGGTTATTTTTGCCTTTGTATTGTGAGGCACTTTATTTGCTTTTTTCTAGTGATTGTATATTGTTTTTAAGGTAGGTTACTTGGAGAGTTTAACTCCATTTAACCTCCCTAGTTGATACTTTCATTTTGTATTTTTTCAGTAGGGAAAAGGGGGTGACGTTTAGCAAAGCTAGGGAGTGTGCTTAGAAATTGGGCCTGAGTTGGGCCTAGGCAAAATTTTGCATATTAGACTCATTTTGTTCCTAATTTTTTATAGATTTGAATTAGCTATGCCTCATCATCATATGATGAACCTAGCTAACCCAAATCAAGGATTTTCAAATTAATTCATGGAGCATTTTGAGAACAAGGCCGCCTAGCCCACATGTGTTCCTTTGGCCAGATTTCTAAAGCCCCTCCTCTTGGTTTTTGAAGCTTACCTTGCAAGCTACTAAACCAAGGGAGGTTAAGCCAACCTTACCATGGTTCTTAAGTGAACCATGGTCAAGGTTAGCTTCTCCTAGAAGCCACCTAAACCGTAGGAGTTAAAGCTAACTCTACCATGGTTCCTAGTGAACCATGGTTAAGGATAGCTTCTCCTACAAGCTATCTTTCCCTATATATTTCTAAATACCTCATTTGTAATCACTTTTGACATAAATGAGAATTAATCTTCAGATTTTCTCTCAACTCAAGAGTCTCAAAACCGTGGGGACTTTCTACTCTAAGAAATCTTCCAAAGTTCTTCAAACCTAAGCCTAGGTTCTTCAAGTTTCTCCATCCAAGAGAAGTAACCGAACCTCTAGCAAGACTTCTACTCCTTTGAAGGTTCTTCAATGGAGTTTCAGAGATCTTCAAGTGTCAACCTCAAGTGCATTTCGGTCCTAAGCATGGAGCAAGTGAAGGAATCATCAATCTCCTCACCTAGTTCCATCAGTTTGTATGAGTAATATAGTTTAAACTGAAACACAAGCACTGCATATAAATTGTTTTTAAACTAATTCAATAAAGATTAATCAAGAAATCATATAGGAGTCATTCCCATATACTAAGAGGTTTAATATACTTCATTGAAAATTGGTTTTAGAAAAGTTTTTAAAGAAATTAAGATCCTTAAACTCTGATACATTTTTTTTAAGTGTCAATAAATCCAATTCACCCCCTCTTAGATTGAGTCATTCTTTTTTATCACTTTATACACAAGTATGATTTACAAAGTGTGTTTCTTCATGTATATTTCTATACAAGTCTTTTCTTTTATTGCGTGTCTCTTTTTCTTTCTTGAGCTTTGAATCTTCTTATATAATAGCGTGGAGAAAATGACGTGCAACACTTGAGTTTAGTTTACAAGTTTGTTTCATCTATATTCATCATTTTTACTTGTGATAGTAGGTAATCGTTGATTCATTTAATGCAAGTATTAAATGTATTTCACCAAATAATACCTCTTATTTAATTAAGGAAGCTACTTATCAACTTCTTATACCAAACAAAGCTTGTAGAAGCAATGTCAACGTAGTGTAGCTGCAATAGTGACTATATATGTTTTACTATGTGATTTTAAGGATCTTTGTTCTTAGTCTTGAAAGAAAACATGATTTTTCTCTTTAACAGATTTTTGAGTTCCAAAATGGTTTTCTGGTTTGATCTGTTAAAGAATGAAACATTCAAAAAAAAATTATCGTTAGTCCCATTTAATGTATATGAGACACGAGAGATATTTCATCATCTATAGTCTTCGAAACTTTCATTGAGTTGTTATGCTTAGATTCTACTTTTAGAGCGTTTCTTTTCTCTCTCCTCTTACTAGTCTTGCCACCCTTCAAAGCAACAATGTCATTTACTTTAGGGTAATCTCTACTGTTCAAGTGAACCTCATGAGCTTGTAGAGATATGAGAAGTTCATCAAGAGTGAGAACTTTCAAGTCGCGCGCTTCTACGATAGTTGTAGCTTTGGACTCCTAGATCTTTGCAAAAATATCCAAGATCTTGAGATTATTTTGAGCTTTCAAGAACTCAGTTCCTAGAAATTTTAACCCATTCAAATTTGTTTCTAATCTTCCAAACATTTTGTCAATAGACTCGTTCTCCTTCATGGAGAACAACTCATAGTGCCTTTAAAGTGTAGTAGCTCGTTTAAGCCTTACATATTTAGTACTCTCATAAGTTATCTTGATGACATCCCACATTTCCTTGGCCATTGAGTAGCTGCAAAACTTGTTATACTCCATTATGGAGAAGGAGCAAGCAAAAATGTATCTTGCTTTGGAGTTGAGTTGCAATATGTTATAGTCATCTTGAGTGTATTCACTCTCAAGCTTGGTAACGACAACATCACATTAAGTAATAATTCTCCAAAGGTGGTATTAGGTGGATTTGATAAACATCTCCATTCGACCTTTCCAATACAGGTAGTCCTTTCCATTAAAGGCAGGAGGCCTTGTGAGAGAAGCCCCTTCTGGTAGGTACTATCCCTTACTACTTTTCATCGTGGATCTTTTTCCTTTGGCATGATTAGATGCTCAACCCTGTCAAAGGCCGAGCTTTGATACCAAATTATAAAGAAAAGATAAACACTAAAAGAGGAATTGAATAATATGTATCAACAACTCGCACTTTTTGCATAGTAAATTAATATCGCTAATCAAATGGAGTGCGGAGAGAAGTCAAAAGGAACACTGAGAATTTTTATACTAGTTCATCTCAATCACTAAAACTGCGTCTAGTTCTCAATCCACCTAAATTGAGTTCTTCTATCTTTCAACAAAGATATAATTATTCTTTCAATAAGTCACTTCTAACTTAATCCTAAATATTCTTTAACAAAAAAAATATTTTCTAAACATAATTGTACTAAATGACGTTTACATGCCTATTTAGATAAGCTTTTACATAAACATTTTTGGAGAAAAAATATAAAGAAAAAAATGTAACAAACTACTCTATAAGCTAAAACTAGTCGATACATAAATTAAAAATAAATTTTTGAAAAAACTTATATGGGAGAGTTTTTACAAATTAACTCATGCATAATTTAATTTTAGTTTATAAAAATATTAATAATTTTAAATTATTTAATATTAATATTTATGCACCATGGATAAATATTGATAAAAGGAAAAAAAATAAGAAGAATAAGAAAAATATTTTTTTTTATGTATGAGTTATTTTTTTTATATATAAAAACTAATATGTGAAATTTTTATAATTTAATAATATAAATTAAGATTTAAATATGTTTTTAATTTTTATAAAATGACTGTGTTTTGATTTTAGTTTCTATAAAAAAAATTCATCTTCTAAAATTTGGAATAAATGTTTTTAGTCTCTAAAAAAAATGAGCAAATTTTAATTCTGTCCTATAAAATATTGTTATTTGATTTTCATTCTTTTGAAATTTAAAGTAATTATTTTTGTAATTATTTTTGGTCCCTAAAAGTAGATAAATAATATTTATTTTAAAGATTTATAATTTTTTTAAAAATATCATATACTAACATGATATCAAATATAATTGTGGATATTACTAGAAATAGAAATAATTACTTGACTATATAATAAATACAAAAATAATTAAAATAATCACATAATAATAAAAACTAAAAATAATAATTATCAACAATAATTGATACAAATGAGACTAAAAATATATTTAAACTTATAAATTAAATTCGTTTATAAAAAATATTAATTTTAATTTTTCTTTTTATATTAGTATTTTAGATAAATTTATCCAAATATACTTTAAAAAATTTTTATATACAATACATTATTTGAGTTTTCATTACTTAGTATGAGTACGTATTTATATTAAATAATTAAAAAAAATCTGTTGATAATAGTTTTATTTAACTGAGATTATTTTGGTTAAAAATGACCTATGGTTGATTATTAAAAATATATATATATATCATGTAAAATGTAACGTATTAATAATTAAGAAATAATGATATTTATGTAATGGAATAAGTGTAGGAGACATATTGTTTCGTGAGTGTAGGAGTGACTCTTCGTTTGCACTTGTGTGCTACCTCTCTCTACTCCTCTTGTGGCCTGTCTCTGGGGGGTTCACACTTCACCCTTTCTTTGATTCCTATGGATCTTCATGGAAACCCCCTGAATTCTGGCTTGAAGAAGCGAAAGCAGGAACTGGTACCCCCTTCCACCTTAAAAGATTCCTCTTTTTCTTCTCCATTTTCGCTTTCGTTGGAATTTCCTGCAATCGTTGCTCTCACTCATGCTTTGATTATGGCTCAAGTTTGCTGCTTTATGGCCTTCTTTTTTGCTTCTGCTTCTTTTTCTCCTTCTGTGCCCTTTTCGATTTTGACTTTCACCCTTGATCGTTCGAATTTTGTAAACTCATGTTTTTCTTTTCCTTTTTCAAGAGCTGAGTTTTTTTTTTCTGCCCTTTTGGTGATCTTTTTTTTCCTTTTGGTTTGACTCTTTATAGTTTTACTTTTATCTTTACGGTTGGGTTCATAATTTTGGGCATCTGGTGTGTTGATTTCTGGTTGTTGTACAGCCGGACAATAGAAACGTTGTCATTATTAATTTTATAGCGATATTCGCTAATGTGGGTGGCAACAATGCTTAAAATGGCATAGAACTTCTTTTTCTAAGGACTCAGCCACCACCTTTGAAAACGTTTTTGCTTAGTGCATTTGCTTTGGGAGTATGGAAATTTTTGTCTGACCTTTCATCATATTTCTATTGCTATGGAAACTCTGGAACTGAATGATCCTATTGTGAATGACTAGTTGGTAAGTTCAATTCTTGGATAAGGGATTGTCTTTTTTCCCCACCCCGCCCCTTTAAAATTAGTGTGAATTGACTTCATAGCTTATCAATGCCTGGAGCTGAATTATATTACTGATAGTATATGCCCACACCTAAAATGTGGTAACTGACCTCTAAATAGTGCCATGATATGGCTTGTATGGATCTTCATGTTCATGATACAGCATGCCTGTAGCTTAGTATTAAAGAGTGTTCTTAAACCTCTCAAGCTTAGTTGAAAGGGAAAAAATATCATGAAATGGTAACTTTATGTGAGTTTTAAGTTTTTTTTTTTGTTGTTGTTTATCTTCTTTTACAGGATGCTTTTACCAGTGATCATGGAAATTCTATGAATGTGGGAGAGTCATCTGGGAGTGGTGATCTCTGCAAGACTTCTACCTCTGGATCACTAAATTCAAATAATCAAATTGGTTCCAATTCTGATGTTTCATGTCAAGAAGATGAGGATATGATTGATGACGATGAAGATATGATTGAAGATGATGAAGATGAAGATGATGAAGATGAAGATAATGACTCTGCTGTTTTTTATTACAATGATGTCGTCGTTGAAGATGATTTTTCAAGTATGCAGGATCAATTGGACAATGCGGATTTGCCTCCTGGGGTTGAGGCATCACTACCTTGGTTGAAGGACATTTCTTCTAGTGAAAGCAAGCAGGCTGTTGCTGTTGCCCGTACAGAATCTAGTTCCAAGGGAAAAGTGGATGAAGCTGAAGATTCGGTCATGCAAAAGTTTCGACAATTTAAGCAATTTGGTACTGTTGATTCGTTTCCGGATCATTTCTATGATAAGGAGGGAACATCAGATGCACAGGTGATAAAAATTGGGAAACTATTTTTGTTTAAACGGTTGCATATGCCAATGTATTTTTTTTTTTTTTTAATTTTAACCAACTTATTGAATAGAATCTGACTTTTTTAAATGTTACAGAAGCCTAAAAATTGGGCCAAAAAAATTCAGGATGAATGGAAAATTCTTGAGGAAAATCTGCCAGGTAAAAATCTCTTTGTATCTCTTAAAAAAGATATTCTTTATCTTTTATCTGCAAGATAGTATTTGTTGTCGTGGCCTTTCCTTGATATGTATTATTTGAAGTGTCTCCCTATTGCATTTGTTTTCAATACAGTTTTCCCAAAATAACAACTACCATCTTTAAAATCTTTTTTGGAAGAAGGTAAATCATCATCCAACTTTTTACCATTGTGGTGAAACATGATATTCAACCTTTATGATAAATTGCAATCATTGCATGTGGACTTAACTTTTACAGAGACAATCTTTGTGAGAGTAAGTGAAACGAGGATGGAGCTTCTCCGGGCTGTCATTGTTGGACCTCAAGGCACTCCTTACCATGATGGTCTCTTCTTTTTTGATTGCCTCTTTCCTTCTACCTACCCTGCAGGTCCACCGGTATGTATCATCAATATTCCACATGTTTTCAGATGTGTCTTGCACTCTGTATAATATAAACTTGAATTATCTTCTGCAGAGAGTTCACTACCACTCAGGTGGCCTAAGGCTAAATCCAAATTTATATCAATGTGGAAAAGTCTGCCTTAGTCTTTTGGGCACTTGGCATGGTAGGAATAGTGAAAATTGGATTCCAGAAAAATCAACCATGCTACAAGTCTTGGTTTCAATACAAGCTCTAATTCTAAACGAGAAGCCTTTTTTTAATGAGCCTGGGTATATATCGACATATCCTGGTGCGGATGGGCAAAGAAGATCTAAGGAGTACAATGAGAATACATTTGTTTTATCCTTGAAGACAATGATGTATACTCTGCGTAAACCCCCAAAGGTATGTAGACTAGAACAATATCTGATAATGCATTTTTTGGGAGTACTTTTGTCTTGATAACGTAGGGGCTCTATAGTTTGAGAAAATGTTTTCTGTTTTCAATTTCTATTTTTATTTTTTATGACAAAAATGATATCCTGTTTTCATTTTGTTTACCGTTTCCAAAAGTTTGTACAAGATATGGTGAAGACAGAAAACAATAAAAAGTTCTCACTAATTCCTATAAAAACATTTAAAATCAGCAAATAAAGTGAAAATAAGATGGCTTTTTGGTAATCAAAAGTTAACTCAGAAAATGAGAACAGAAAATGATTTTCTGAACTCAAAACCCCCTTATTTTTCCAATAATGGTTATGATTCCAAGCCGAATTTCATAAATAGGTGATAGATGGATTTGCATGCATTTTTTTTTGTCTACTATTTTGACTCTAAAATGCACCAACACAATTAATTATTTTTTCCACATATTGGCTACTAAGGAGACTCAAATGTACACAGTTGGGCTTTGCTGTAAACAAAAATTCATGTTTCTCTATACAATGGTTTCATTGATCAATTTATATTCACCAGGCTTTGTTCTTGTACATTGCTATTATTTCGATCTATTGGGTTAGCTTTTTGTGTATTAATCTTTTGGGTAATAAATAACGACTGATTGCCGACTTTAAGTAGCTCTTGTACAATATGTTTCTCCTGCTGTGTTCAGGAGATTCATGCTGGACTCATCTTATATATAATGATTGTCAAAATGGGAAAAAAAAAATTCTTTCTAAAATTTGTGAAGGTTCAATTGTGGTTGGATAATTTAAAAGTAAATTTTTATGTGCTATTAAAGATTCAAGAAATTATTATGAACAGTTTTTAATTCTTCATATTTAAAACTCTATAATTTTGGAGTTCAATATTTGAAAAGTATAATCACCACTTACTGTAGAAGTAATTGAAGAATTAACAAGGAATAATAAGATATTACATTTAGAAATGGAACATTGAAAATCAGGACAGAGGTAGATTTGTGGTGGTAACATTAAGATTGGTTTGGCCTTGTAAAATATAGAGGCAGGTAAGTACAACAAAACTTGACGTGGGGGAATCATTGAAAAACATAGGGAAGGCATAAAATTAAAAGTACTTGGCAGGACGCAAAGGTAGGGGATACCAGAGCAGAAAAACTAGTGTTTGCAGCGAGCCTATATGATTTTACTGCAAAAAATTTCTTAATTTGGCAATCTTGCTTCTACATGTAAATTATCACTCCCCAACTTATTTCATAGTTTCACTTGAGTTTGGATGTAGCATAGGTCGTTTATAAGTTACTCTGTTATTTTCCTGAATATATAGATATCTATATATTGTGAGCTTAACTACTGGATCTAGCCATCTAGGTTATGGTTTTCTTGTCATAATAACTATTTATCTTAAAATTTCCTTTATGTGCAGCACTTTGAGGAGTTGGTTGCAGGGCATTTTCGTACTAGAGCATATTTCATACTGACAGCATGTAAGTCATATGTGGAGGGGGCTGCGGTCGGGTCAGTTGTACATAATCTAGCTCAAAATAGTGACAATAGTTCTTCGGCGGCTAACGGCCAAAATGAATTTGAGTCAGCTGTGAGTAGAATGATGAATACCCTTATTGCATTTTTCACCAAAAATGGCTCCACAGACTGTGATGAGTTTCGATCTCCTGAGATTTATAATTTGTCCTCTGTGGCTATATTATAAACTTAGAGGTTTACAAGATAGAGTCTGTCACAACATTGACCCCATGTGTGAAGGTCCTAGGTTGTTTAATCTGATAATGATGTGTAGTGGGTTATCTTTTTCATACTTTTTGTGGTGATTTTTATATCCCACATCACCATCCGCGTTGCTCTGATATTATATATACAACCCCTAGTTGTAAAGATTTACATGCTAGTCTAGCTCTTTGAAAGATGGTTTCTTATAATTTGCATGTTTCTTAATAAAATGTCAATAGTTTTGAGATTATCAAGTAGATGCTAGTTTTCCCAAAATATCATTTTCGGTTAGACATCACAGAAAACGTCCTCTGTATAAGCATTGGTTGACATTCATTTCTTTGATACGATGAGATGTATGTATTTACTATTTCTACAATCCGCACACTGTAGCACATTTTTGACACTATTGTTGACCAATGACGATTAAGGTTAATGTACATACATGAAATTTTTAATTAACAAAGAATATTTTACTGTGATTAAAACATCACTTAATTTACTCTTGTTTGATATATATTTTTTGGCTCTCATAGAAAAGAATGATGACAGTAGGAAAAAAGAGTTGGTAAGAGATAAATATAAATGTAGTTAATTGAGATAATGAAACGAGGGTATAACTAAAAATTCACATCTTGGATTTTTTAAAACGACAAAAGTTCAGACACAAAACCCAGAGTTTAAAGCATTAATAGTGTATTGGGTATTACTCATCTGATTTCTTTGAGACGATATTACATCTATTAACTTCATAGTTTTCCTTTAAATTGCATTTTATATAGATACATCAAGAATTTGGCAGCAAATAGTGTGGTTAGAATTACAATTTACGAAAAACTTACACTCAGTTTTAATTAGTCTTTTAAGAATACTTAAAATATGTTATTTTTTTTAATTTTAAATTTAAATTATTTTGAATTAATTATACTTTTTTTTTTCAAATATACGTGTTTAGATTTTACCTTAAGTATTATACATTTATCACAAATATCCTCTACGAAACAATCATATGTGTGGCAGTCTTAATTTAACATTTTAATGTTTTTCTTAACTTTTTAAAGGAAAACATTGAAGGAGTGTTAACCATTAATGATAATTGTATCGCCTGTAGTTGTATTTTGAAGGTTTCCTAGACATCGAAAAACGTAATATTTCCCCCCAAAAAAACATAAGTATTATAAGTTTGATTTATTATTAAAAAAGAATAGGATATTACTTTTAGCTACACGTGCCATTTAGTCATGACACACTATCTGAATTCGATCAAAATAATCCCATTTAGCAGAAAATGGAAACTTAACGAGTTCAGCGAAAACGATATTGAAGGTTGAATAGCAAGCATTAATTCTGTTAAAGAGGAATCTCCAAAACAAGCACCTTATCAACTCTTGATTGGCTATAATCCCTCATATTATTATGATACTCATTATCATTATCGCATAATCAACTTTACAAATGCTAGGACTTTGCCATGATAAAGATTTTCAGATTCTTCACTTTATTACTCTCATTGACTGCATTAATAGTGTGTTTGGATGGAGAATTCAAATAGAATAATTTATTTATTTGAAGAATTTCAAATTCTTTGAGGTGAAATACCTTGTTTGAATGGAGAATTTATAAGGAATTTGAAATTCAAGCATTTGTGAAATTCCTTGAAATAATTGAATTTCAAATTCTCCCAAAAAAGTAAGAATTTGAAATTCCTCATATTTTTTTTCTTCTTATTTCACTTATATATTTTATCTTATCTCATATCTCTTCATATTTTTAATTATTAAATATTTAAAAATATTTTTAAAATTATTAAATATTATCTAATATTAAATTTTAAAATTATTAAATATTTAAAAATTAGCTAATATTTATTTTTATAAAAATTAATTTAAGAATCTCAACATATAAATATATTTTTAAAATCAAATTTACAATGGTGGAATCAAATTATCATATTTAACCCAACAATTTAAAATTTGAATTGACTTATCCAAACAAAATATTTTAAGAATGATGGAAATTGAAATCAAAGTAATTCAAATACCAAGAATTTAAAATTCCTTGAATGAATTTGTAAAATTTCTCATCCAAACACACCATAAGGAATCTTTCGTCTCAATCCTTTCTTAGGGAAGTTTTTTCCTTGGCAATTTGTAAATAACATTATTCATCCCAATCGAGTCCCTTGTCCATTACTGGCAAGTTTTAATGAAAGAGGTTTAAACATTGGAATTGGTTTTATGTGGAAAAGTATTGGCCAAGTTGATGTTAAAGATAGAATACCAAAATGCACTCACTATCGAGAACATAATTAACGATTATCGAAATAAATATACTAAGGGAACATTTCCTTCAAGATATTGTATTTCCAAAAATTTCACTCCCAAAATGTTATACTCGAGAATATTATTCTATAAACTCATTTGGTTGACATTGATAATTTCAGAAAAAAATTAATTAAAAAAAATGAAAAAAATGTAACATAATTATTGAAAAGTAGTCATTAAAAAAGTAACTTTCATTTCCATTCATTTTTCACTATGAGAATGAAAAATGTCAAATGTGTAAATTTTAGATTCCTGAAAATAAAATATATCCGAAATATCTTTTTATAACCTTCTAATAAATATAAATATTCACACCTTCACATTTCCAAAAATAGAAATATATTACTTGTAACAAACACTTACCTCTTAAAAAATGTAATATACTTTTAGTTTAAAGTTAAAGTTTCAAAAAAATAAATGGTAAAGATAATCAAACTTGATCATCTCGTTTTCATCTATATACTTTTAGTTTAAAGTTAAAGTTTAAAAAAAAATGGTAAAGATAATCAAACTTATCATCTCATTTTGATCTTTTACTAACAATTACACTCATCTCTTCCAATATATCCAGTTATATGCTCGAAATACCATATCCACCAGGAAAAAAAAAACATTATGCTTGCTTGGGAACGGATTTATAGAGCCAGCGTGCGGTGTGGGCAGGGGTCAAAGTAAAAACAAAATTATATTGTATACTCATCCATGACCATTTAGATGATATTTAAAAATTGAATAAAAAAATTATCATATGGCCATCTAATTTTCTATTACTATTCTCTTCAATTTAGAAGAAAAAAAAAAAGACTAAACTTTTAAATATCTTCAGTCATTCCCTATTTATGAAACCTTTGATGGCACTGATGAGATCACAGTTTCCACTCTTCAAAAGTCAAAACTTAGCATTGAACATTCCCAATAATTATTACAATGTAAAGAATACCACTTGGCATACAATACAAGCTTATAAGAAAAGAAATGTTCAAATAAGATTCATGAGGGTGTATAGTAGTAGGCATGAGAAGCGCAATTTATGGGTAGCTTTAAGAAATTCCAAGTCATTCTAAATCAAGATATTCCCTAGTCAGCTATACCAAATACACCGGCTGCAACTAATTTAAATTCCCAAGTAACCATCTACATTTGCTTATTCTCGTGAGAATGGTTTTGCTTCTTACTAAACATACCTGACATTAAAAAATATTAAATAGTTTAGTAGGGAAACAAAAAACAAATTGATACAGTGATTTCAATTACAACATGCACTGATATTATCTTGCAATTGCAGGATAAGAAATTATAAAAGAAATAAGGTCGCATTTCCAAGCTGGTTCAGTCTAGTTTTAGAAAACAATGGCATCGTAAAGACTGCCAAAAGGCTGCTAATGGCTAAAAATAAAATTGCAACGTATGTTGCTTCAGTAACAAATTAATTGAAGATTTGAGCATTTATTATTTTAAATATAACTATATCAAAAGGCTGTGGAAGTATTGTATACGAAGAATCTATAATTCTACATTTACTTGCATATTAAGAATTGAGAATAGGAGCTAAATTAGATGCTAAGATATAAAGGGCTCTCATAATGGTATATTGCTGCGCTACAAATGATTTGCATATTGGATGCTAAGAATATAAATATATAATCCCCCCAAGAATTGTATGTTTCTGTGCCTATTTTAGCTTGGATCTCTAATTTACAACTGCAGTGAAGGAAATAATTGGTGCAGAAGTATCAACTTTGTAAGGTTATTATCAGATCATTGTAGAAGTTGGTAAGATGTTATATATAGATCTGATTTCCAAAATTTACATATGGCCTATATATTATGGTCGATAGAGACAAATCTAGGAGAATACTAAAGTAAAAAGATATTATTTATTAAGAGTTCGCACAGGTGGAAAAAATGGCGGTGTGCAGTCTACTACATGAATGCAAAATATTCTCCGCAGTGATATGTATTCCTAATTAACAAGAGTAAGAGCAATCTAAACTAGCACCTTAATATCCATATATCATTATAATCCAGCAAACTACCTGCATGTTAAGAAATGCTGAATGCAATTTATGTTACTACTTAAAAATATGGATGAGAAGGGAGGAGATGCACTACCTCTTGATGAATTGAGTAGCATATCGTATAACGAAACACATTAATACAAACACCAAAATATCTGCAAAAGCTTAGGAACTCCAACAAGCAGTACCAAACAGACATGATAGCATATGAATTCAAGAAATTTCTTAACTTGGTCAAAATTCTTTAACATTGTTCCAGTTGTCTTACTGAACAAAGGACACCAAAACCATTAACCATCAATGATCAGCTAACTTAGAAGTATGTGACAAACAAGTTTTCGACAATTGATGAACTATTCAAAGAAAAACCTCACAAAAATATCTAGAAAGGAAAAGACGCATAAAGGAGTTAAAATCCAAGAGAATGCAACAAAGGATACTGAAAGTACAACGCTCCCACCAATCCAACATATAAAGCCCAAAAGTCACATTGTAAAGGTAGATCTTATGCTGAACCCAATTCATATCCACAGCTGCAAAAACAATTTTCTTCTTTACTTTCAGGTCAGAATCAAGACAAAATAGCTCAAAACGCATCCTCGGCATATAAAATCTCAGAAATTGTTTTCATCAGACTATAGAAACACACAAGCATTAACTACTTGCATGCAATAACTTCAGTCTTCAGGTGTATTCCCTATTAATATTATTTCTTACACACATACGATTAGGGAATTAATTTCTACGTATAGCCTCGACCAGTGCACTAATAATGGATAGAAATAAACAATTTATAACACACACACACAAGAATTCTTCTAAAGAGTAAAGATTACCCAAAATAAAATAAATTAAAAAATCATATTTAATAATCAAAACGTCTAAAAGGAGCATAAGGGGAAAAAATAGCCAGAGGAATGAAGTAAAAAAATAAAACAGTAGATTTAAAAGGTTTCGTATCCTAAAATGTGTGATAGAAAATAAGGGAACGCATCTAATATACTAAACCAAAGGCAACCTAACAAACACCCTATTCATTTCAACCCAGGAAGCACGCAATTTCAAATCAAAGAACAATAACGAAAGAATCTAGGCATAAACACAACGAATCACGATCATCACGAATATTAGCAAGCAAATCAAACGAAACAGCTGACAGCAAAATGGAATCACGGAGAAAGTGAAATCGATATTCGTTAACAATGGATTTTGGAATCGGTGTTGGTTACCTTGAGGTTATGGATCAAGACACAAAATTGGTATGGATTGCAGTGGTTTTGCGCTTCGAATCGCCGAGAATGGCGACAGCAAGAGGACAAGCACGAGCACCGTTTATTATCGTTCGCACAACAACCAAAGAGAACTACGTAGGAAACTCACAACTCACAAATCAAAATGGAAACAAGTTCTAAGTTTTTTGTATTTTTATAACATATTTGCCTTTTCTTATTTGTTTTGCATTATTTGGCGGCCCTAATTTTTCAGGATAAATTATTTTACAAGTATTAAGCTAACAAAATTATACAAACTAATCTCACCTCCAAATAGATAAAAATAAAAATAAAAATAAAAAAGAAGGGATTGAACAAAAAAATCAGATTGTACCAAAAAAGATAAAATAAAAAAAACAAAAAACAAAAAACAAAAAAAAAGGAAGGCCAGCCCAAAAAATAAATCAGAAAAAGTCCTTATGTTTTGGTTTTTTTAAAAACATATTTTTACTTGTTAAAAATACTTTTAAAAAATTAATAATTACCTAATGAATTATATTAGTTCATATTAGAAGTCAATAATTTTTTTTATATTTTTCTTTTTAATCTCATTATGACTTTTTCTTTTCCATACGAAAGGTCAAATATTACTCAAATCTATTTGTCATGCATTTTTATACTTATTTAGCATCATTCTCTCTTCTATCCCTTATTTGTATCAAGTTAAATAATTAAAAAAATATATACATTTAATGATTATTTATAGATTAGTCTCTAGTAAAAATACCCCCAACATTGGATCCTTATACAAAACTAACATTATATTTTTATTTTTATACATTATAATGACATTAAATGGATGTTGATGTGTGCAACATAAATTTGACATGGCATATGAGTTCTAACAATCAATGATCCTTATACTTAAACGGTTGAGTTATTAACAGCGAAAACATAAATGTAACTACATGGAATTAATTAAGAATAGATGTACATTAAGGATAGTGGGGCACTACTATTCCTCCACTACCATTTTACACATACATATTTTTTTTATAAAAAAAATATATTTTTAAAAATAAAAGTTATATTCTAATAAATTATATATATATATATATAAATTATCATGTGTATAAAATATAAATTTG